CGCAATCCTCGCGCGAGCCCCCAAAACTGCTTTGAGTTGAGGTGGCAAGAGTGGTGTCGATGTGATTGGTGATTCATTTTAGCATTTCACCCGTACTCTACGCGCACGTCACACAAGGCCTAAGGACAACTAACAATATATCACCGACAATATCTGCTCATACTGCTAAGTATCCGATAGAGCAGCCTCGGAACACGCATCAAATACATTCTGTAGGCCGAACGTTCATGGAACTAATTGCGATTACTCTCATTGGTACGGAAACGAACTGGTACTTATCACAACTTCTCAAATATTCAGCGTAGGTCTGAAAACACATGACTGAACGTTGTATATGCTTATGTGTTGGCTATCTGAATGAAAATGGAAAGGTTCCTCATCTCCTAGTATCGCCTATGTCGATGAAAATCTATCATGTTTCGTAGCCTGGATAGTTTTTCGGTAAAAATATTTGCTCCTATTGATGAAAAAAAACTGAACGAATGGAATAAAAGGCTTTGTGTCTCTCGAGCGAGGAGGATCCAGGACCACTCTTCACAGTGACCAACAGAGACGTAGCGCCCGTTCGAACAATTCGGTGATTTAAAGGCAAACCCGGGATTAGCCCGACTAGTAGGAGGGATACCACGAGGGAAATTGTAAGGTCCGTACCTACCTAGATCACTCCAGCTTCGTCGCAAAAATTGCGCGGTTAGGGCGCTAATCCTTACGGGCCTGCAACCATCGACCCCGTTGCAACGCTTCCCACCCACCGCGAGAGGTGGTGAGATCAGCGTGCTCTCTCGCGTATTTTGTCTTCTTTGACCGCCCTGTCTCGCCATCGTACCACATCCGACCTTTTGAAGGTTAAGGCCTTAATTTCAGCGTTCCCAAAGATTTCTCTTGCTTTCCTTTCCACTTTCAGGTCGTTCCGCAGCTAAGCTATCACTACAAAGCGCTGCTAGCACCTGTTTAATCCCGGAGTTTGCCTTTAAGCGACGGCAGGTGATGCAGGTGAGATAAATGATGAAGGATTAAGAATGTATGATAAGAAAGAATCAAGGAAGGGCTCAATATTACTAAGCACCTACGTAGCTTGAATAGTGGAGCAATCAATTTCTGTTGAGTTTTATCAGTCTCTATCGATTAAAACCACTTCCTGTCACCCATCATCAACATCCTATCGCCTTGACATTGGCTAGTACGAGTGGGGCATCAATAATAGCAGTAAGCGTAATGTGAGAAAGCTCCGGTCCAGACGCTACTTATCAGTGTTCATCAGACATTATCAGCTCGGGGCGCTCACCGTCACTGTCACCCTCTCACGCCTTCCCATCTCCCACACTGTCAGAATTAACTTAGACTGCCGTCACAGACGGCACAAAAGCTGACGGCATTTTTCTTTTCACCTTTCTTATCAACCGTTATTAAAGGAATCCTCCACGGAAAAAGCTCCGCCCTCATTACCACAGAAAACGATACCTTAAAGGAATCTTCCACGGAAAGAGTGATCATTTTGTCTTGTGTGTAGGATTAGTATTATCGAAACTATGTTCCGTTCTTTTTGCTATGCTCATGAGGCTAGGGGCCTAAGGTATCGTTTTTCTGTGGTAATGGAGGCGGAGCTTTTTCCGTGGAAGATTCCTTTAAGCGCTGTCACTTCAAGTTGATACCGTTCATGTATCCGTGCACTCAACAAACTTCATGTGAGAGCCAAAGCCCGTGGAATCCCAACAGAATTGGTGGTACTCACATTCTGTCGCCCGTTATCCATTCCTACCAGTTGCTATCACTTTCTACCACCTACCTCCTTGGCTCTCGCCTTACCCTACATTACCCAGATGAATATAGTAATCATACCACTGTCAAAGCAGGTGCAACGCAGTCAGTGGCATTTGCGCTTCAAAGTCCGTTATCAGCTCAAATCACTGTTTATCACATCACACACCCACCGTCAATGTTTAGACCCACCATCATATTTTGTGGGTGAAACTTTTAATGTTGTCTCTAGTGATCACAATTGGCATGTTGGGATAAAGTGCAGTTTTTCCGTGGAGCATTCCTTTAAGTCCCGTGCCCCATCTGGTTATGGCTATCCAAGCAGATCTCAAGGCGCTCATATCTTCTATCTTCTGTTGACACACCAGAAGGGTCACTACTGCATGACTACTTGTAATGTTACAGGTGTTGTGAAAGCTTTAGTTGTCGAGTAAAGCTACTTCAGCTTTACTTCAGCTTTCTCAGCGAACAAAATATAAGTCACAATGTGTAGCACGGAACTATTTATTCAACATGAATTACGCTGTAACTAACTTCCTTTTACTGCGTCTTCGGTTTTTTGCGCTTGAATCATCGGTGCGACTGTTTGTGCGTAGAACATCTGAGCATGGATACTTTAGTATACGGTAAGTAATGCTACAGTAAATTGAATGCTTACATTCCCAAAGTTGATTCCAACTCCATAAGCCGGCTTCCTTGGATACTTTCATCAAATGAAAGGATGTAGAGACAAGGTCCTGAATAAACTGGCTTCAGGGGACCAGCAAAGGGAAGCAGAGAGACCAAAACATTGATAAGTAGATTTCAGATTATAAAATTCATTTGTATCTCACCCAAGCAACATCGGGTTTCGTCACAATGAATTTTATCACAAGGTATAGGTTATAAAAGAAGTTGGCGATACTCTGAACAGATAAACTTTGGATTTGCTCTACTAAGTGTGTATATGAGAAATTGTATGAGATATGAAGTTACTCAAACTGTATGTTTGTTTCTACGATATGTCTACTCGCACTTACGCAGCGATAGTTCGCGGTCGTATAGTATGCGATTAGGCGGTTAGGTGATTGAGCGATAGTCTACAAGGAAAAGGATACGTTTCGGCAAGTGGAGTGCCGATTGGTTGATTAGTCGATTAGGTGGGTAGGCGAGTAGGCGAATAGGCGAGTAAGACTGTATGCATATCGATTGGCTCGCTCCGCCCACTGAGCGGCGCCAATCATCAACTCAGCTGTCCGCCTCATCGCCTAATCGATACGTATCTTTTCTTTTTGGACCCTAGTCTAATCGTCTAATCGCCTGACCGCTTAATCGCATGTACGATCGCGGATTATGAACGCTGGCTGAGTCCTTCTGGCCCACGGCGCCTCTCTCATCATTAGATCCCAATCCCTGGACATGGCTATAATGCCCAAGCCCTGTATAGCACCCACTAAGGCAGGACTGAAAACCCTCCCAAGAAGTCCATGAATAGCTTACTGTCAAAATATTTTGAATAGTGGTTAGTATTTTTGTCGCTGTATCCTGCTCTTCTCCTGGTGCTGCTCCCGGTGGTTGTGAAGGCGCACCTGGATCGAGTCTCATTTGCGAAGGCCATAGAATTTACCCTAATCTTTGATTGATCGCACTGGGTGCTAAAAGGCGGAAGACGTACTTCTTTCTGAAGGTGGTGCTGGTGCTGACCGCGATGACGTCCTTTGCGACACATTTTGTTTGGGCGCCGATCCTGGTGCTGCTCCCGGTGGTTGTGAAGGCGCACCTGGATCGAGTCTCATTTGCGAAGGCCATAGAATTTACCCTAATCTTTGATTGATCGCACTGGGTGCTAAAAGGCGGAAGACGTACTTCTTTCTGAAGGTGGTGCTGGTGCTGACCGCGATGACGTCCTTTGCGACACATTTTGTTTGGGCGCCGATCTTTGAGACACCTTCCCTCGAGCCGACATTCTGCAACGAAGGATGAACAGCTGCACGATCTTCAGGAAGCCAAGGAAGCTTCGACCTCACCTCCACGATGTTTAGCTGAAAAGATTCCCCATGTACTCTTCACTGGGCTTATATAGTGGTTGTGATGATATCAGATTGTTATAAGCCATAATTTGACATGTTTCATGTAAGACCGTTTCCACAACATGAACTGCTCCATTCATTGTATCGCTTGGGCGTTTTCTGAATTGACCAATATAATCGTGCGTGTCATGAAGCTGACCATGATGATTAAAACACTCTACGTTTATCTCTCAACAACCGCACATAACTCTGTGCACATAATGGTTGATTGATTTGGTGGGCCATGCTGTCTTGCACACGTTTAGCAACTTGCTGCTCGCGTTAGCAGCGGGTTTACACCGTGCGAGTGTGAATCTTGCAGAACCGTCCCTGAATGAGAGTTTTGACCCACATTCACACAGTACGATAAGGCCCGATGGTCAAAAGAAGGGAAATTTATAATATTTAGTGGAAAGACAGACTGACCCCCTGGGGTGCGGACGACGCCCAGTTTGCAGCGAAGGATCTGCACACAGCTGCCTAGAAGGGTACCCGACAGGAGGCCCGTCGAGCGGCAAGAAGACGGATTCGGCGAAAAAGCCCGATGTGCGGTGTAGGACGTGCAGTGGTACATTCTATCTATGTAACTTGACGTGAAATAATTACAGTACGCACTGCGACTCGTCCGCAAGCTCTGTCTTCTTGCTTCGCGATGGGCTTCTTGCCTAGCACGGCCCTCTCGCGACGCTGTCGGCGTGGTGCGCCCAGCGATTAACCACTCGTCGCAGGTCTCTAGCGTTCAGAGGAGAGAGCGTTAGCGTTGAGGAGGGCAGCACCGATGAGAGCCCCATCAGTGCGGAAATGAACAAGCATGAAGGGAGCCTCATTTCTTGAGTTCTGAATATTTCTTCATCCCGGCACCACTGACCATTTCTACCTTAATTCTAATGAGCCGTCTTCTAATCATGAACTCCGCCTTTAAGCTCGACGGCGACAAAAGGTGACTTTATATTCCGAAGACGATGAGAGCAGTGAACAGCAGCTTATTTTTGCTTACGAGAGAGACATTCAAGAATTATTTTACCGTAAAACTTCCATCAAAGGCGAGAGCCCTGTCAGGTCCCCTCTAATTTTTTGCTCCCCAGTTCTGCAGCAACCCACTCAACAGATCTAGGCAAGGTTAGTCGTCTCAATGTCCAATTTCCGACCACCATCCTCATCGCGCTCGAGGATCTCGTCATCACTGCAGAAATTTCAGATCACCCCTTCGCAGCAGCATAATTGCTTGTTTGAGACCAAATGCACCCATGCTGTCACGAGCTGCTTGCATTCTTACCAGTTCGCCTTGAGTTGGAGTAGGAAACCGTCTGATGGTGAGATTGCTTCTCACTATTACAGTATGCGGATGCCGAGCGGAATTTGGAAAGAGAAGGTTGCCTGAAGCGACCTCCAGCAGTAGTAGAATTATGTAGTCGCGACTGTAATGCAGACATAACCGAAAGGTTAAAATTCATTCTGGTAAAACCGCCATCTTGTCTTCTATATGAGCCGCTGTCCTCCAATTTTCCTTATGGATCGAAGTAGCATTATAATTAGAAAGGGGCTCTCATTTTAGACTCGCCACGGACTTCCATTGTTGTTCAATCTTTGCAGAATAGAAAATCCTGAGACTCCAAGGGACGGTTTTTTTATGACGTCAGCGCTCCGTATCCATTCCCGTAGACCTACGATTTCTGTGTGTAGCCATGCTTTGCAGTCACATTTCAGTAAGTCATGGATCGTTTTTTGGAGTACTCTTCTCAGGTTACACGTGAAAATCTGATTAACACTTGACGAGAGCGCGTTTGTGCTTTTTTGCTGCGTGGGAGCGGCGTTATTTGCAAGCGCCGTCGTCGCGCACATATATGTGGTTTAGGAGCTGAATATCACTTCATTATATAAACCAGAACTTTGGTATGTCAGTATTCGGTGTGGGTGTGTCGTTTTGTCCGTCCGGACCAACTTGGTGCTGCCGTGGTAGCCGGATGAGCGGGGGAAGAGGGGGGGGGTGAAGGAGAGGGTATAGATTAAGGGGCAAGCAAGGGAAGATGGAGGCGGTGGGAGAAAGAGGGAGCGGAGAGGGGCAGAGGAGAAAGGGAGGGAGAACATGGCGCTGTGATGCGCCGAGAGGAGGGTATAAGGATGGGTGAGGTGGGGGAGGGAGGAGCTGAGTGAGAACGACCGTTTTCAAGAGTAAGGTCTATATTCATGTTGACGTACACTGGTGTGCAAAACTTGAGGACGAGACAGATCAAGTGTCATAACCTTTTTATAGCTTCGTGGACCGTCTACCTGCTTTTTTAGTGCCCTTTGGCAGCTCTTTGTATGTGTGGTTAGGTTCCAAGGAGTCATGTTACGCGCCAGTGAATTGTCGTTGAAAACCATGATCGTCCCTAAGGTCCAGATTCATGTGTAGTATTTCTAACCTGATGTGGTGATTGTGATAACACCCACAATGGCTACAAAAACACCGAACGAGCCCACAGCCTCATTCTAGATGGTGCTGCCGGGCAGTCGGAGCCGGCGGGCAGTAGAGGGGGAAACCAGAAGGGGAGGGGGTGGGTAGAGGGGAGGTGAGGGGAGAGAGGACAAAAGGGAGGGGGAACATGGTGCTGCCCTATGTGTGCGGAGGAGGAAGGTGTCAATTAAGGAAGGGTATAATGTATGGATAAGAAGGTATAATACGTTTAATAGTGAAGTGGCTAATGGAGTACGTCATACTGCTATTCCTGTTCCTCCCTACCCTGCGATGCGGACTGAGCAAACCTGATTTGAGAAATAAAAGAGTAAAAGTATAAGGAGTCAGCATTTTTTTCGAGTATCAATAGCGACGGATTTTTCTGCTTTTTTCGCCGCAGGGGTACCATTGAACACCAACACGTCACACTAAACCCTTCTTGAATTTATCGTAACCGCTACCTTCAAGAAGCAGTGAGGTAGAATGCAGCATTGGCCCCGCCCAACACCATTGACCCCACCCACAAGTTGCTACTATTTCGCTTCTCTGCTACTAGATGGAGAGCTTTATTTTCATCCTCCAAGACAATTGCTTCCCATTTTCCCTTTACAGACGTTACACTCCACATCTCCACTGTCATTTACAAACGTACTAACACATCAGTTCATTCCCGCTTTGCCTTTGACTTTTGGATTAACCGAGAGACACGATGTTCCACCACAACTTTGCGAACTATTTTGGAACGCTAGCGCTTGTTTCCGCGAAGTTATGCCGTGTGAGGAGTTATTACTGGAGTAAAAGATAGATAGTGAAACCCAGTTTTCAAGTGGGTACCCTTGTCCCAATTCCATTGTATCGAAGTGCCACGGCTGATTCCTATTCCTGCTTTGCCAAAAATTCATGAATGTAACAGTGTTTTGACGCAATGGATAAGAGTGGGTTTAGTAGGGCAGGAGTTTCAAGTTCACCTATGAAAGAGCTGTTTCTTGTCACACACTCTTCCTCAAAATCCCACTGACAGTATGATAGCGCTTTTCCTCCCCATTAAAGTGAAGATCTTCAGGATTGAAAAACTTGTTCCGTCCGCAATTCTCTGCAAATTATGAGAACAGTAATTCTTCCAACATCCACATAGTGCGTACGATTTCTCAAACCTCATTCCAAGATAGTTTTTATGAATGCTCTCAACTACTCTACCTACCAACCAGCTTACTGTCCATTCACCTAACGCACAAGCAGATTTTAAAGGTGTAGAAAAGCGTTTTCTGGGA